ACACACACACACACACACACACACACACACACACACACACACACACAGAGCATAAGAAATGGTTTTAAGTGGACTCACCACTCTGGGCTTGGTCCTCTGTGGGGTAGCTGTGGATGCAGTGTCCTCTGTGCTCTTCTTCTGTGGTCCAGCTTCTGTAATTCCGCTGGTGCTGGTCTCGCTGGGCCCCTCCGAAGCCAACACTGAACCTTCTGCTCCATCCCTGGCTGCTGGAGGAGGTCCTGGGCCCTCAGCATTGCTCAGTTCCAGAATATATTTCTGGGTCACAGCCTCCAAAGATGGGGCTTGGTCTCCTGGAGGTTTACTTGAGGTCTGAGGCTCTGCAGTGGGTGGGACTGAGAGGAAGTCCACTTCCTTCAATGGCTGGAGTTGTGGAGGTGGGGAGATGGGGAGGAAGATGGTAGGTTCGCTGGCATGGCGGACATGCTTGGATCTTGCTTTGGGTTTGGGTTGCGGCGGGGGAAGGAGAGGGGTGAAGTCGGTTTGGTCGCCGTGGTCCTCCAGCTCCTCTGAACCCAGTTGCTCAAATGGGTCCTCATGAGGGAAAAATTGAGCTAGCCTATTTGGACGCTTTCTGGTGGGCCGACGAACCAGTCTAGGGGACAGAACCTCAGCCAGCTTGAGGTTAAAGTTAAACTTCTGCACCTCTGTCTCTTCTTCACCTTGGTCTATTGCATCATCATCGTCATCATCATGGTTGTCAGAGTGATGGGTGCATTCAGACTGGGAACGAGCTTTGACTTTTTTTGTATTTGGCTGCATCAGCAATGCGTGTTTAGGCTTCACTTCTGGCTCCCACAGTTCCTCTCGCTTCTCACTCAGGATTGGCTCACTGCTGGAAGGTGGAATCGGACCGGGTTGATCCAGCTCACTGATTGGCTCAGTGCTGCCAGTCTGACATTTGAGATGAGGGTAATTCTGGGAAAGTAAAGGGACATCGCTACGGCGACTGGGGTCACTGAACGACTTCTTCTTGGGAGCTTTGCCATGGTCATCGGTCATCAGTCTGTCCATTGCACCTGGCTCAGCTACAATGCTCCTGATCACCCCACTGTAGTCGTGAACAGCATCATCTCGGAGCCCGCCATCACTGTAAACTGACAAGTCACTGGCCACACTGCCCTTGTATTCTGACAAAGTGGCCACAGCGGAGGCATCTGGAGCACCACCTCCACCTTTGACAGATAGGGATCCTAACAGGTTGCTGTCCACAGAGGAAAAATTGTTATTACCTTCTTCTGTCACAGAACAGTGTCGCTGAGGCATGGGGTCACTGAGAGAGCGGTAGACTGTGGACTCCCCATTTCCAACAGCTGCTATTGTTGACTCTGCGTTACTGCCGTTACTGGAATCAGAGCCTGTGTTGTTAATACCAGAAGGGGAGAACTTGCGCCTTCGTCGGATAGAACTGGGTGTTGCAGGGGCTTCAAGGCCTCCTCCTGTGGTGCCAGCAGACCTCTGCGACACAGCGCTGTTGGTGTTGATCTCCTCACTGGCAGTGTTAACATTATTGATACCAGCAGTGCTGGTCAGCTCCATGATGATACCGTCACTCTCAGCAATGCGGGCAGGATGAGGTAAGGAGGGAGGTACGTTGACTTCGTTCAGACGATTTGAACAATTCACGCTGTTTTCTGTCATCTCTTGTCTTTCCTGCTTAAACCCCTCAGGCTGATGGAGAGCCGATTGCTTCCATACGGTGACAGGCTGCCCTAGCACATCCTTAGCAATTCGTGACCCCAAATTAACCCCTGCTGAGCCCAGGAATGACCTTTCAGAAGGGTCACTTGGGCCCGTCTCTGGCTCTGTTACAATCCCTTCATCTGTTAAACTAGACTCATGGCCCGAAAGTTCATCCACAGAGCGGTCGTAGAACATGCTTTCCTCCGAGTCGCCCTTCAGTAAGGCTCTCTCCGTCTCTCTGCTCTCTCTCTTTGCCTTCTCCCTGTACTCTGTGCCCCTGCTGTTTAGCTTCTCCAACTGTATACTTTGTCCATCCCTCTCGCTCCTCTCCCTCTCCCTGTTCTCTCTCTCCCCCTCATGTTTATCCCTGTCTTTTGTGTTCTTAAACTCAGCCTCTTCATCCGTTTTTGCCTGATCCTCGACACTCACTCCTGCTTTCTCCTTTTCCTCATTAGTTTTCTTGACCTGGAAACAATCATCTTCCAAATCATCATCAGTTCTCCTTACATCTACATCATCATCTTCTCTAGTACTCATTTGGCAGATATCTCGAATGACCTGCCTGGCTTCCTGCACATACCTCTCCTGCAAAGGAGTTGGCATCCCTTCCTCACCATCATCATCAAATCCATAATCCCTCATTCTTTGTCGTCTCCCAGCCCTAAAATCACCGCCATCACTTTCTACTTCCCTCTCTGACACCCTCCCTCCATCACCCTCTCCATCCAAATCAAGCTGCTGCTCAGAAGAGCTCCTCTTCGTGGCGCCACCTGTCAAGTAACACCTCACTGCTGTAGTGTGTTTGTCTGAATAAGTGAAGGATTTTGCACGCCGCAGGGTGGCAGTTAGGTCTTTCAGTGACGGCCGATGACCAGAAGGTAGCAGATTACCGCCTTGATTCCGTGAGCCAATCCTGTACACTGGGGACCCATCCAAGACCCCGGATTTGTCTCCACTTGTTTTCCGCACCTTGAGCTCCGACAGGTCAGATTTCAGAAAGCTTAAGAGGGACATAGTTTCTGAGGTGATATCAGGGTTTGATATGGACATTGGGTTTTTATCATCCACCCCATCCCCACTTTTTGTCCTGCTTAATGCCATAGTCTCACCACCCCTAACTCCTGCCGATGCCCCACCTTCTCTGGCAAGTACACTAGATAAGGGGGTGACTGTAGGCACAATCTTGGAGCGCATCCGCACAGGCGTACGAGATAAGTTATCCCCATGGCCAAAGCTTGGGGAGCGGTACATGGTAAAATTCCCATGGTATGTTTTACTCAGCATGGACAAGGATGCAGTTCTGCTAGCGTTGCCCCCTTTTCCACCCGTGTTAAAAAACACATTTGGTGCACGTTTGGTACAGCCAGCCTGGTCCTCCTCCTTCAGTGTCTCAGTGCTGGAGTATCGACTGCTGCAAAGAGAACCCCCAGGACTGGAAACAAAAGGGGGAATATTGACCTTTGACACTCGTGATACACCGGGAAGTGACGTGGATATCACAGGTGAGGAGATGCGCTCCCATTGCTGCACCCTGGCTCTGTTACTGTGACTGCTGGGTTCCCTTGCAGAGTGGCTCCGAGATACTGTTCCCGCAAATTCTCCTCCTGTGGTTTGCTGGTGTTGCCTCTCTAAACGCTCCATGGTCAAGGCCTTGTCACTGTCGCTGTCTTCTGATTCGCCATCACGATCATCAATATCATCACGGCCTGTTGCAAAAGCAGCTCCACTGACTTTCTTCTTCTTTCTCAGCGAGCGGCGGCGCACTGCCTCTCGACTGTGGGGGCCTATAGAACCAGGGCTGTCCTCCTCACTGCCTGAGGACCTACCAATGCCCTTAGCACCCCACCAGCCATTTTTACTGCGGGATAAATAGCTACCTCCTCGCTCAGTGGTGCCCCTTTCTCCTGCTCTGTAGGAGATGGAAGGAGCTGCGCCAGAAGTAACACTCCAACCGTCTCCTCCACCTCCTCTTCTTCTCCTGGTGTGCTCCTCCTCTTCGTCACCAGAGCTAAACCTCCAGCGGGACCTGAGAGGAGAGACAACTCTTGCTGAGGCTCTTACCTCCGTGGAGGGAGGTACAGTAGAGGAGGAGGTAATGGCTTTATCTGGACCTGGAGCAGAGGAGGGGGTGGGGGCTGGTGCTCTAGAGGAGCTATGTGAGGAATGTAAACTATCCCTGGGCAGCCCGACCCCCTGTCTATCCCTTCTCTCCCTCACTGTCGGCCACTGAAGAGAGGAGGAGCAGGAGGAGGTGTTCAAGTTCTCCGATGGACTCCAAGACAAAGTAGCAGGGGGTTGAAGGTCAGGGCCGGGGTCAGATGTCAGGCCTGTCGTCCTGAGGGTCTTGTGGGCCACCTCTGACTCAGTGCTGGGACTATGAGATCTGTATGGAGATGGGTTAATCCTCTGGTAGTGACTACCCCCAGTGCAACGACGGCTGCTACTGCTGCCGCTTTCAAAAGTATTTACGTCAGAAGGTTTCAGGTTATTAGAACTTTGTGTCTCCAAGTCTGCCTCCTCGTCATTTGAGAACTGCTGGTGGTCAGTTTTGGAATAAAAGTCCATACCGTGATAAAAATTATCTTTAACAGTGCTGCATTCTCTGCTTTGAGCCTCAACTATGCATTTGCCATGCAAAGACGGGATACTAGCTTCGTTAGCAGAGCTGCAAGGCGAGAGTTTGTCACTTCTATCCGAGAGAAGAGCACCGTCACTGGGGCTGAGCTCATGTAAATGTCCTCTGCTGACTGCTTTTAAATTCTCAGAAGAGTCAGTCTTGTGCTTTGTGCCTTGACTCTCGTCGAAAATTAGTCTAATTTTGGTGACACTGGGCCACTTGTCAGAGTGCAGGGGAGTAAAGTCACTGTGGTGTGTAAAGGCATAACTTCTGTGGGATTTACAGGGTGGGGGAACCCCTCTAAGACTAACATCCTCTTCCTCATCTGTAGTCAAAGTGTTTCTATTATCAGAGGGACATGCATTGACATGTGAATAATCTCTCTTACCAGAGTTGCTGTCGGTTGATAAACGTTTAAAATTCCGCCTCTCACTTTTCTGCTCCGAGTCCGAGCCTGAAACGGAGTCAGTTTCGGAGTGAAACTTTTGCACTTTGTTGTCTGTCAGTGACTCTGCAGCAGCAGCAGCAGCAGCAGCAGTAGTAGTAGTATCACTATGTTGGAAATATCCACCGCCGCTGTCCTCGTGAAAAGATTTACGAGACGGCGACCAGTCTCTCGTGGAGCCCCTGGCCCGGGGAAGAGTGCTGCTCCCCGGCGTCACTGCTGCGCCGTCTCCCGGTGAGGCTCTGTGCGTCCCGGCGGAGCCGCTGCTGCTAAACTTCTCAGTGAGCTGTCGGATGGATGGAGAAATGGAGGAGATAGGAGTAGAGGAGTTTCTCTTTGGATCTGCGGTCGGGAGGCAGGCGGTGGTGGTGGCCGAGATTTTGGAAACTTTTCTTGACACACAGACATTACGCGTCGCCAAGAGCTGTTCTGCTTTGCTGGGCTCCGGGGGAAGGGCGACGCCAGCTGCCTCCGAATCCTCTGATTTGTGTTGTTGGTCTTCACTCTTGTTGGCGCTCCAGGACCCCAACTTTTTGAAAGAAACGCTGCGATACACAGCCGCATTCTTCCTCTCTCTTGCTGCCATTGTTCATGTCTTTCTTTGTTAGATTTCACGCACACATTTTTAACTCCACGGGTATTACAGATCCAAGCACCTTTTGGAAGTTTGTGGTCTATTTCTCCCCCACGCAGCCTAACGGCCTGAATACCCAACAACAATCACTCTATTAAAACGTAACTGTTGGCACTGATAACGAGGTGAACCAAGTGATAACCTGTTCAGTGAGTAAAGTAGGTGAGTGCTGCTCTGTTATCAAAACTTACATGTTCTCGATTCCCGAAACCGCATCCGTGCAAAGAGGAAAGCGCTACTTTTGTTGGCCAAAACTTTCACAACCTGTCCACAAACACAACCATCCATTGTCAATCCCTTAATATTTCCAAACTTTAGCCCCTTCGACAGGTTAGCACGCTTCCACAGGCCCGACGCATCATCCACTTCTAATTCCCAAAACAGTTTGTGGATTCCTTATTTTGGCATGATTTGGTTTTCCGTGACTTATGTTGTTTTTTGCATGTTAATGCCTGAGATAGGGCAGAGGGGGTGGGCGGGACTAGGGGTATAGGGGTTGTCATAGCCCCCTCGGGGACTGCGGTCAAGCCAGCCTCCTCTTCGAAAAACACAGTCAAGCCAACCCGCACGTTGTTTTGCGGTACGCATATGTACAAGGCTTTACGGTAGTAGCGTGTAAGAAATGACTTCAAAATAAGAGAAACGTTCCGGTGAACGTGATAGGACATGTCACATTCATTCAATAAGTCTGTAAATCATAGATCAATTAATTAATATATTTCAAACAGAAATAAATAGATACATACATCAATGAAACTAAATGAATGAATGAAAAAGTATACATTTTATAAATGATTACTTTAAATAATAATAATTACTGCATGCAAACTGTATTTCAAGGAAAAATGTAATTCCAACTGTGTTTATTCAAATGTATTAATAAAGAATACATTTACACACAACAGTATGGCTTAAAAATGACTACAGTACATCAAATTCAGAAACTTCAAGGTTACACTAAGTGACCAATTTACCTTAGATTTGAGATTAAAATTAAAAGCAAATTGTCCACAGTTCAAAACTAATTTCACATCAGATTAATAGTAAAACACTTTAGAGTGTCAATTATGGATAATCAGAACATTTTGATGTAGTATTTCAAAATTAAAGCCCTTCAAAATCTCATGCATGAGCCAACTTCCTTATAATTTCAGATTAACTTTTAAAATAAATGGTATATTGTTACATAATAGTTTCAATTTAGATTAATCGTACACTACCTCAAAGTGTCCTCAAAGGAATGTGATTTGAAGTTAGCTCACGAATGAGATTTTGAAGGTCTTTCATTTTGAAATGCTACATCAGAATGTCCTGGCTCTCTCTGAGTGACACTCTGAGGTGGTGTACCTACTATTAATCTGTAGTGAAATTATTTTGTAATTATAGACCATTTCTTTTAAATGTAATCTGAAATTAGAAGGAAGTTGGCTCATGAATGAGATTTTGAAGGGCTTTCATTTTGAAATGCTATATCAGAATGTCCTGATATTCTCTGAGGTGGTCTGCTATCAATCCCAAGTAAAATTAGTCACTTAGTGTAACCTTGAAGTTTCTGAATTTGATGTAGTGTACTGTCACTTAGAAGTCATACTGGTCTGTGTAAATGTATTCTTTATTAATATATTTGTATAAGTATTTACACAATTGGAATTATATTTTTCCTTGAAATACAGTTTGCATGCAGTAATTATTATTGCGTTTAAAGTTATCATTTATAAAATGCATACTTTTTCATTCATTCATTTAGTTTCATTGATGTATGTATCTATTTGATTATGTTTTTAATGTATTAATAAATGTATCTGTGATTTACAGACTTATTGAATGAATGTGACATGTTCTCTCACGTTAACCGAAACTCACCGGAACTGCTCTTATTTTGAAGTCAGATTTTACACGCTACTACCGTAATGCCTTGTACATACGCGTACCGCAAAACAACGTGCGGGCTGGCTTGACTGTGTTTTTCGAAGTGGAGGCTGGCTTGACCGCAGTCCTCGAGGCTTGAGAGGAAAAGCTTTCTTTCCCTTTTTTGATAAAGGGCAGATCATACTGTGGACAAACTAGGTGCAATTATAGCCCCTTCCTTGCGAAAAAGACAGTGGCATTGTCAGGAGTATTGGACAGAAAACTACACATTCAGAGAAACATTTTGGACCTGCAGCATTTTTGTAAAATATCCACAAGAGCGTATCACTATAAACACTATGCATTTCCAAGATACAGTATAAACTCAGTATTTCTGTCTCTTTAGAGTTAAACGCTCACAGAGGAAGCCAGAGAGTGATGCGCTTTATTTCCAAACTCCATTGGCTAGTAGTGCATGTTCAACCAATAGCTCAATACCACAGTGTGTTATGATGATGCTGGTGAGTGTCAGCATTCAAGGGGGGGGGCAAAAACGGGGGGGGGGGGGGGGCAAAAACAAAGAAAAAAGTTTTCACTCATGCCCAGTAACTCCTCTGTGGTGCTTCCCGTGATGCTGTCTGTCCCAGAATTCTGTGTCACATTCCCTTAGAGAGGAGCTGCTGACTGCAGCGCCCTCCACAGTCTGACCTGTTAAATGCCAGGTCACTGGTGGGAGATCATGGACTTTAGCTGAACTCCCTACACAATTTTAAAAGAGCTGTATTCAACATTCTGAACGTTTAATATAGCAGCAAACAACTATTTGCTATGCAAATGGAGTAATGTGTACCTGTGCAGAGAATGAAGGGGCTCTCCCTCTGTGTGTGTGTTGTTATCCGAGCTTCTCCCAGTGCATGCGTGTAGTGCAGGGTTCCTGCATGTGAGCGTGCACCACTGGTTAGCGCAGTGCACTGCTCTTTAGGGCGGTTAGCCAATAATACCGTCATGACCGACAGCATCGTAGCAGTTTCAGCACCCTCAATCAAGTTCCCCCTCAGGTAAACACTGTTAAACTCTGTCAGCATTTTTCATCATTGTTTGCACTGTTAGCAACATCAATAATGTATTTTGCCCAATAAATTCCAAGGTAATTTTTACCAGACATGTTGCCAGGTAGAATTGTGTCAACCTGTAAATTGGAAAAGTTGACTTGATTCAGGAAATCTTCAGGTTGCAGTCCAGAAACATGTGAGTAGGTAAAAGAGCAACCAACACAAAGTTAATGTTTTGAAAAAGATAATAAAGAAAATATACTCACTGGAAAATGTCATATTTCTGAATGAAGAAGTAGAAGGCATTCATATAGGCTGAGTGACTTTTTTAATGGCTGTTACATTACGACAACATCCAAAACATTTACACAAGCAACTCAAAGGGGCTGCATGGTAAGAAAATAATATATATAAACCTAAATGTTACTTTTTCATCAACAAAATTATATACTACGTAACAAAAATAAAATTATTTTCCTGATACAAAAATAAGAATTCTTCTAAATAATACTGATTGACACATATGTTGGCACAGTGTTTTCTAGACATCTGAATCTCTTCAGACAAACTGACCACACACACACGTTTCAGACAGATATAATAAGACGTTCAAATATTCAACCGGACATACACACAACAAGAACTATGCATTCATGTTTTGCTGAAGCCAGGAGCACAACATACAGTATATCACTACATTACTGAATATACACGCTGTACACACACACACACACATACATTAAGAAGAGCCCAACATTTTAAGCACATGACCTTGTATTGTGGTCAAAATTCTACTTGCATTTGAAATGCATGAAATTTACATGTTCACATTTAACCAATATACACAACATTTCTTCCCTCATGGGTGCAAAACTCAAACTATATTTGCATGTTTGAACCATGTGTTTAAAGCTGCGTAAAGGTTGTCAGGCTTCAGAGCGATTCAAAGGTTGTTGGCAAATTAAATGTATTAAAAAAAAAAAAAAACAGCATTAACGATTATTTTAGTGATATTTAAATTTTGATATGAAATTGTCAATTCAGAGAGGGGCTACATGGGTGCCTGATCTTCAGCCGGTTTCTTCACAGTGTGTGTCGGAAAGACAAGTTGCAAAAGTTATTGCAAATAACCAATTCACAAACTCAATAACTCAGTTACTTGGGATAACTCCACAAGAAATAGTAGAAGGATGTAAAATTGTATGCTGTGCACATTTAGACTGCATTGTATCCAGTTAGTGCTTTCCAAACAGTACTAAGTACTAAACACTTCACATGCACGCTAGAGTACCTCCTTAAGAACACAGAGATCCTTTCCTAGATGTCTCTATTCCTTATTATTCATTATTTATATAACACTAAACTTCCATCAGCAGAGGTGATTTCTTGGAACATTTCATGGGAAGGAATCATACACTAACAGGAAGTGGAAAACAGCAGGCAGAGCCTTAATTTAACCCTAACCCTAAAGTCCATAAATAGCATTTTTCCTTCCCTCTTAAGTATCTAATGCATCAGATAACAACTCTTAAATGTATTAACATTGGCATATGCTTCTCAATGGATTTCCTTTGCTGACTGGAAAATTGAATGGACAAGTGGAGAAAACTATAGACTGATGGTCTATTTTAGTGTGGTATGAGCTGGATATTTAGGTTTTGTTGGCACCAGTTTATCTCTGATCGTAGTAGCTGAGATCTCGTCCTTACTGGATGACGTGTTAATAACCGTACCATTTTTAAAAAGAACATTCAGTATCAGTGCAGCGGTTGTTGCAGCAGTGGGGTGCACTCACCATCCAGTGGTGAAAACATGCAACACCAAGTCTTACAACTTTCAGGGCAGAAACCATAGAGCTCTTCATATAAAAATGCACATTTCCCCACACAAGTGGTTCATGCATTTCTTTCATGCAGTCATAAACATTAACAATTGCTTTGAGCATTTTACATGGCTTTATGCCATAGTGGATTTTATCCACTGTTCTTTTTCTTTTTCATCATTTCTTTTTACACTTCCACATCACACAAATCACACAATCATCTGTCACCTACAGTTCTATACAAACTGCAGAGGCCTGCTAAAGCAGAAGACACTCTTCATTACCCTATCACGTTAGAGCATTATCACTATATCATTACATCTATCAAACTCCTTTACTACTGTTCTACCCAGCGCATAGCGGAGACTGAAAGAAAACAGATAATGGTGAGAATGCAGGATGTGAATGCCCTGGTCTGCTGACAGTATGTATCGTATATGTGCAGCACTCTAGAATCATAATAAGTGCCCGAGGATGAATACACTGTGATTGCTGTGATGGTTAATGGCAATTGTTCTTTCTCAGTCTGTTTATCTTTCATATTGCAAGATTACAACCTCCATTTATTTTGCGTTTCAGAAGTCTTCTTGACATCCCAGTACCTCTACATTTTTAGAAACCTCTCAGGAAGGTAAGGTTCTTTGTTGCTGTGAGTTGTAGGTAAAAGCATTGAGGACTTACATTAGAACATACACAAGGAAACTCAGCAAACAATACCACCTTGCAGCCTCCTAGGATCCACCACTGGTGTAGCAACCAGATTTGAAGAAATACTGTTGCAGGACCTGATCTACTGTCGGCTCACACGCTGGTGCCCTTGTCCCTGAGCGTGGTGACTTTGAGCATGAACCTTCTGGTGCTCTGGCGGTAGCGTGGCTGGGTGAAGTAAAACAGAATAGGGTCCAGGAAGCTGTTCATGCTGGCGAACGGCCTGGTGCATTTATAGATGATTGAGAACAAGTTTCTCGTCTCGCAGGGCGCATTAGGCAGAGTACGCACCACCAGGTACATGGTCTTGGTGAAGTGAAACGGCAGGAAGCTTATGCAGAACACTGCCGCCACCACGATGATCAGCCTCACCGCCTTGTCCCGTTTCTCCCCAGTCGCCCTGGAGACACCCTGGTAGGACACTGGGCGGCAGAGGATGAGGGCCATCCGACAGTAGCACACCATCACGCCCATGAAAGGCAACAGGAAGCCGAGGCAGGTCAGAGCCATGCCGTAAGGATAGTAGTCTAGTGATTTCTTGGGCGTACTTAAATCATAACACACCGTGCGGTTTCGCTGGATTCCCGTCGCGGCGAAGTGAAAAGTGGGCGCGCACAGGACGACGACCACCAACCAGACCCCTCCACAGATGCACCACGCCAACCTGCGACCGCCTTGCCTGGGCCACATCGCCAGAGGATGGCAAATGCCCACGTAGCGTTGCACACTGATGCAGGTGAGGAAGAGGATGCTGCCATGCAGATTACTAAAAAAGGAAGATGAGACAAAGAAAATGCTGTTAAATCAAATCTTATTAAGCTGCAATATTGTGTACTGTGTTGTGAGAAAGACCACGTCCTCTTACTAAACATGAAAAGTCAAAAAAAAAAATGGAATACTTTTAACGCACAGCTGTATAAATAGATTATTATTATACTCAGTATCTCACCTGTAGAACTGAAACCTGACCAGTTTACAGGTAAACTCCCCAAAGGGCCAGTAGTCATGACTGGCATAGTTGTAGATGAGCAAGGGAAGTGACATCACATACAGGAAGTCAGCTATGGCTAAGTTGAGCATATAGATGTTGTTTTTGGACAGACTGCGCCGAGTACTCCATATCTTCAGTATGACGGCAGCATTGAGAGGGAGTCCGAGCAAGAAGACTAAAGTGTACACAGTAGGGAGTAATATACGTTTGAAGTCTTCCTTATAGGTGCAGCGAGGGACGCCTAACCCGCTGATGTTGCTGACGTTGGCGAAGAAGCCGTCCGCTGCGTACGGCTCTGTGGGCCATGTGCTGGTAGAGAAGGAGTCCAGAGGGAAGGCTATGGAGACAGGCGTTTCAGTCGGGAAGAAGTGTGGCATCTTCACTTCCTAGAGGAGACAGGGAGAGACATGATGGGGCTCATTACTTTGATAAAAGTGCTTTGACTGAGATACAAACAAGAGAGATGATGTGTATAAGCACACATTAACGGGATTCTGCCGATCTGTCGGAAATATTGAAATTCACGAGAGATATTCCCACTTACAATACAATTCTAGATTTGTATGCATGTTACAGTACACAGTGTAGTACAAACCACAATACTAATACACCAGTTTACCTCAAATAAATGACACCTAAAGTGTAAGTTGTATTTCTATCAGTGTATTTAACAAGGACAATGCAGATCAACGCTGTTACATTGGAAGACGCAATGCAGCAGTTGCTTTTAAATGAAGGTTAAATCAAATCAGTAAACATAAAGGTAAAACAGACTTAGTATAAAGCAAGTTTCGTTATGTTGAACATGCCTGTGTATGCATTGAAAATGAATGTTTTTTGAGTCCTTTAGTGCCCATGTGATATATTCCAGTGTAAGTAAACACAGGCAGAGAGAGAGGAAGTCTCCACCAGAGGGCACAAGAGAGCACAATTTATTTAATTTGACACTGGAATGTCAAATTAACCATTATTTTACTAGAATTAAAGTATATAAGCAGTAGCAATGAAATGTAGTTAAAGTAGATGTAGTATGTAATGTAGTAAAAGTAGTAAATGTACTCATTGTAAAGAGTGACCCCCTTCATAGAGTGAATACATTATTGCTGCATTAAGTAGTAAAAACTAGTTATACGGTATTGGTACAATACTACAATACGTTATTTTGCATATTTAGATTTTACTTAAAAAATACAGTGGCCTGACAATGATTGTTGTAGTTTTTAGCTTGTTACCAATTTAAAAGAAGCAGTCGTGACCAGTTCATTTAAAAAAAATCTTTATATAATATATAGTATATTGAATAATGATTAGAGGCCGGGGAGATTAGATCATTCAGTAAATCACAAGTTGCTCAGTTTTCCTTTCCATCAACTTGTGACCTCTCATTCATCCTGCCAACCCTCGTGGGAAACACTGGTCACACGATCCGACAGCATATAAAGTAATCAGAGTTGACGTTACATGCTTTATAGCTTCAGCAATGACATGCCCACATATTAATTCATTTCCACCTGTGATCGTTGTTACAAGGTGGTCACTAGGTATAGTGTTCGTACCTGCTCAGTTAATTGAAAAACTAATAAATAGTGACCCAGCCAGCCCAAATAAAGTACGATCATTCAATCCTTCCAGCACTTTGTAACAAGTGGAGGCTGGACAGCTGCAAGTTTTGAAATGAAAACCGCTGCAGACTGTCTGCTCTCCCACTCACAACTCCCAACCGTCTGGAGCAGGTTGTCATACACAGAGATCAATCAGCAATCTTAATTACTGCTCCCACCACCAGCACCAGCATCAATCATATGCATTTGCTTCATGGCAACATGTGGGCGAGTAAGTGATTGGCTTAAGCCACTTCCTCTATAGACTTGTCAGACCGTGACTCATTCACAACTAAATCCTATGTGTGCGTATGCGTAACAGTGTGTATACATGTCTTGTTAAATGGCTTAAAAAATAATGTCTTTGTGTGTTTTTTAACAAAACTGTGAGTCTGTATGTTTTTTTTATTTTTTAAGTTAGCTCCTCTGTGTGGGTGCATGCATGAATGGTTTGTTGTGAGCAACAGTGACGCAGGATTTCATAATTCCTGGCGAGGAGGAGGAGGATGGAGGGAGCGGAGTGCCAGCAGACCATAAAACATTTCACTCCACCGAGCCAATGAGCAAGCGAGGAGGAACAACAAAGGTTTTGGAGAGTGCACTACAGTCAGCTTTATTTGCAGATGATTCATTTCCAGTGTGATACAGATTTCTTTTTATTTGACGACTATAGCCTGTCTCGAGAAAGGCCTTGAGACCAACTTCCTTGCTTGTCATAAAACCCAGAGACGTCATGACATTCACTCAAAGCACTAAGCTGTCTGAAGACACTGCACTTTAGAAAGGGATTCCTGATTAACGCCGTAAATCACACGATATTGTATGATGTAAGGGGCCTCTTGCTTGGATTGAAGGTGCCTCTTATGGTCAGCTTCCGTGACCAGGCCTGCTTTTCGTGGGTTAACCATGCCTAACCTCCGGGGATGAAGTGTAATGAAGAAGAAAAATCGATTCTTGGATTCATCAAAATGCTCTCTTGAAAGATTATGTCTTGATTGAAAAGTTAATAATCGGATATTTATATCTGTTCAATAGGGCTGAACAGATTGGTTGGTGAAACGTAACAGACGTAAACACGTGCGTCGCGTTTACACGCTAAGCTAGGCTACTTCTTGAGTTTTGGGAGGAGGACGGCTATGCATAGGCATGTGGATACAATCCGACCAGCTCAAAGTCAGTTTTTTTTGCAGACACAGCGATGTCCACACCCTACGGAGAAAAAACTAAACTAAAGTTGTGGAATAATGGAGGAAAGAGGGAATAACGGCAACATGCTGCTACAGGCACGCATTCGTTTTCATTGCCGGGAAATGTGTTGGCAAATGTAACCGTCCAGTTGTGACTACTATTGTATTAATAAAAGATAATGGTAGTAAATTCATCGGTTTATTTTAATTATACAAATACGCTGTGTTTTAAACGTAGCAAGTACTCACACAGTGAGAGAAAATAAATAATGTATAGAAACCAAGATGCATCAATAATTTAATTTAAATAAATAAATTGTATTCAAACCTGAGCTGCCAAGAGATTTCCGCCCTTATAGCACACTTTTTTGTCTGACTTTGACATTAAAGCTGCAGGCCATACTGTAACTTCCCACATGTGCAGCCAGGGCGATGGTGCCTCCTGTTTGTGAGGTTGTGTCACTTTGTGGTTGGTTGTATTCATAATGTCGGCATGCAGCATGTATGCAGTTCAAGTGTCAGAGAGCGGGTAGCGACATGAAACCAAACGTGTTAGCTACTGAACTAAAGAACTGAACTGGTCAATGGCAGAGTGGGTACAAGCCCCAGCAAGCAAATCATTGATCCACAAAGCAAAGCATCTGCTAACTGAAACAAGCGCAGTTCTGATTCCCATATTGAATATCTGCACCTCATTATCTGCACTGTGGTGCAAATAATCATATATCACTGAAGGAAGATATTGTCCATGAACTGTCGAGTGTCAATTCCTTCTGAAATTATAATTATAAACCATCCTACTGAGATATCTTATCAGTTCAAAACACGTTCTGAAAGTAACATGTGCAAAATTTAGTAAGAACAGATATAAATGAGCTCAGTTAATATGTTCACATGGTTAATAACTAACAGGTTTAAGTGGGAATGTTCACTGGAAGAAAAGAGATATAAAAAAAATGTTTCCAATTTTCACTCTAGAGAGCAAACAATCACAGCCCTTCACTTCAAGTGGTCATATCCGCACTCTGTGTGTATGTGTGTATGTGTATGTGAATGTGTGTAAGTGTGTGTGTGTGTGTGTGTGTGTGTGTATATGTGTGCCGCTGATGGGCTTCAGGGTGAAGTGTTTGCCCAAGGCTACCCTCCAGGCCATATCCATTTTCTAATCGGCATTGATCTTAGTTCAGCACTACAATAGAGAAACACATTAAAGCGCAACAGGAAAGAAACACAAACAAAAACAATGGATTAAAAAAAAAAAACACATTATTTGGGATTTGTGTCACAAGAATGACTCCAGAGTAAATTTTTGTTGTCAGCATATTTGAGGAAATGACATTGTCCGGTGCATATTGATGTGTAGGTATTAAGAAAAATATTCTTCTAAACTCTTCAAAAAATAAGTCAAAGAATGCTAAATGACACAAAGGTTTAGTTACAGGTTTGGACTATTTTTAGATTTTTTTTTTTCAAAAAATAAATAAAAATGAAAGTTGTAATGAGGTCATTTCAAGCCACATGTTTACTCCATTCGCGACACTAACAGCAAACACTAATTAAACCATTGCTCATCAACCTTTACAGGAATTCCTTTGACTCCGTCATCACGGGTGTGAAAGACTCATGTACCTTTGCTCTATGACTCAGAGCAGCTTTTTCTGCCCACATATCTGTTGTATTCTTGGCAAGCTTTCTGAAACTTGTCCATACATCTTCTCCTCAAACTCTATCTGTGGGAAAACACAGACACATATTCTTAGTTACACCACCTTGAGCGGAACATCCTGTGATGTTGTGCTATTAAAAATATTTAATAGTAAAATATTTTACCATCAACTCAAACTCTTCCTTGGATAAAGCGGAGCTCTAGTAGTAAGAGACCATTTACACCAGGCATGTCCAAAGTCCGGCCCGCGGGCCAATCACGGCCCGAGGTCAGATTTTATATGGCCCGCACCTTCTGTCTTAAAATGCATTATTTATGGCCCGCCAGCACAGTCAAAACGGAATGAATAAATCATACAAAGTCAACATGCAATTCCTCTTTTTACCTCATGGTGGCAGCACCACTCTGTAACTGTCTGGCTGTTTGAAATTGGCTCTGACCCTTGACCTGTCATGGCTACGGGAAGTAACAAAAGGAAAGTCGATAATGAGGGCCGCGGCTTCCAGGAGAGGTGGAGATCGCAATATTTTTTTCACCGAAAACCGAAACAACTGTGTCTGCCTAATTAGTCATGAGACTGTTGCCTTGTTTAAGGAATATAACGTAAAGAGACACTACGAGACCAAACATGCTAATGCTACAACAAGCTATCAGAGCGACCGAGCTAGAAAAGTGAAGCAACTCCAAGATAACTTGGCCTCACAGCAGCGGTCCGTTTCACATGAAAACATCATCAAAGTAAGCTACCAAGTAGCCATGCTAACTGCTAAACATGACGAACATGACAAAGTTTATCAAAGACTGTGTTATGAAAATAGCATAAAACATAATTGCCCCGAGAAGAAGACAGTTTGCGAATGTTTGCCTGGCTCGTAACACTGAAGAGCTATCATCAGATACTAAGAGACAACTTGATTTGTTTCGTTAGCCTGTTTCATGTGTGTTGAATTTAAATGTGAGACAACTTTTCATTACCCTCACTAAGTCATATTTAAGATTGTCTTGAGGTGAGAACATTGATCGGTTTCTATGTAATTAGCTTTTAGATGGCTTGTTCTTTGTGTTATCTGACTTTCAAGATGTGAAAGAAAGGCAGAATAGTTGTTGAGATTTGTTCACACATGAATGCTTACATTTGGTTACATTGCTATGTGCTGTCATTGAAAATAAAATGATTAAATAACAATGTATGTATAGGCTACTTGTATTGTTTAAAATAATGTCAGCAAGGACTGTTGACCCTTGGGCATTCTATCAGAATGTAGCTTCTTTACATTCTATTAGAATGTAAAGAAGCTACATTGTATAGAAAGATTCTATTGATACATTGTATAGAATGATTCTATTGATACATTGTATAGAATGATTCTATTGATACATTGTATAGAATGATTATAGCTGATTTAACTTACAGACATGAGATTGATCTTCTCATGTCACTCTTTATACAATGATATAAATTCATCCCCGTTTTATCTACAAGGCTACTTGTATTGTTTAAAATAATGTCAGCAGGGACTGTTGACCCTTGGGCATTTTCACATTATCAAATCTGGCCCTCTTTGAAAAAAGTTTGGACACCCCTGATTTACACTTAACTGTGAACGTAACGTTACGATGAGCCGATTAAAGATGACCTAAACTGCCTGGCAACAAATCTAGTCATTAATCCTCTAACATGGTTAAAGACAACATCGCTCTTTCATGCTGCGTCCACGAGTACATGTGATAATCTTACCCATAAAATGCGTTATAATGTCTGCATCCACCGACAAAAAGGTTCCTGGAGAATGCGGGCATCGATCCCGCTACTTCTCGCATGCTAAGCGAGCGCTCTACCATCTGAGCTAATTCCCCTCCTCAGCAGTAGCTATCAAAAACCATTCAACACCACGTGGCAGAAACACTGTCACAGCACGCGAGGGTTATGTTACCAGTTGCTGACACGGGACGCTCACTCACTCTGCGCTCCGTTTATCTCTCACTCTCTCTCTCACATGCTTTGACTAGAGAGGAATGCTGCTGCACACTTTCTGCACCTCAGGCCTGCCAAAAGGCAGAGCTGTGGGTGACGCAAGATTATTTATATACCACGATGGCAAGAATGTGAATGGGACTGTAACTCAGGACAAATATAGGAGATCAACAACTCAACATAACCCCAAACAGGGTCATAAATCAAACACCCCGTATAAAACTTGAATGTTTATTCAGCCTGTGGATTTGGTACCGTCAGGACTTTCGACCCCTGGATAAGGTAACATGAGTCAACTAAGGGTATGTCTACAAGTGTTGAATAATCCACTATATGCGGAATAGCACTAAACAACTTGAAACAGTTAGTGACCAGCAGTTGAACATAGCAGAGCATTTAACAGCTAAGTGGACAGATGTTGCTGGTGGAGACCAAAAGGGAAATTATCTAAAAGAGAATATTGTGACTTTCATTCACCTGGTGGATTCAAACACAGCTCCAAATTAATACTCTTGCTGCTGTGTCTGCTGGAGGTATGACTAACACATTTGCCATATCAATTTTAAAAGGCGAAACTATGTCAATGTTGTTTTTACAGATTGTTTTTGCCACCTCAAAGAAACAGTTAATGCAGGTATGTAATCGACTGAATTAGGGCTTCGGGTTAGGCTGGCCAAATCTATCGATATTATATCCATCGTGATATGTGACTCTATCGTCTTTATAGCATAAAGCATCGTCTTTATAGCATCTCAATGTGTAAATATTTTCTAAAAGCACCAATAGTCTACCCTACAATGTTGTTGCAATATTTGATATTGAGGTACTTGGTCAAAAATATTTGTATATTGGATTTTCTCCATATCGCCCAGCCTACCTTCAGGCATAGCTAGTTTAATTAAGATTAATTGGTGTTGGGATCTATCAGGAGCGTGTTTGGTTATCAGCAAATATGAAAACTAAACTATTAACATCAATGCAGTTATTGACATTAATAAGCTTATTAACAATTACTCAAAATGACGGGGCACCACCCTGAGAACAGGGACCAATAACCAAACTACAAATTGAGTCTCACAATTGGTGTTCACTCAGAATGTCCACAGTCAAAGTGCTGTTCTACATTCAGAGCGAACAGTGAAGGTTGAATTCGAGCACAAGCCACAATATCCAGCTGTTATCACACACACAAGCACAAGTAATCACAGAAAACTGCTCTTTAAAATATAACAGAGTTTATTAAATCCAAATAATAAATGATCGAGTTAAATAATATCAAAAGCCGACAAACACTATCATGCAATTATACGTCTAATACCTAAAGTCAAGGGAACAATCTGGAACCCGGCCGGCGAATCGAGGCTCGGCCCACCGTGGTTCTGGTCTTTAAAGTGAGAAGATCACAATCAACCAACTCCAGCAGCAGTGACTGATCCAATGCAGCACGGTTACAGCAGCAGAGAATACACAGTGTAACACGTTACAAACACTACTGGATGATTTGAAACTTGCGCTGGTGTTTTATCAAACGCAGGGGTCCACAGCGATCGACCAATGAGGGACCAGTATTACGTTTTGGCTGGGACTCTGAGGTGTGGCGCATTCCTCTGCCCTGGGTGCCTTATCTTACAGGCCTTTTGTTGAACAACAGAGCCTTTTCCTTTGTTAAGAGCACATGGTGCGAGCCTTGTACAGGCCATGAGGACATAGTCAGACCCCAACAACACAGACACTCTCTGTCTCTGTTATAAACACACAAATGAACAGAGAAATATTGAGTTGAGGAGAGAGAGAGAGAGAGAGAGAGAGAGAGAGAGAGAGAGAGAGAGAGTGAGAGAGTGACCTCTCGTTACTTCTGCAGTCTCTATACTGTCCCTGCCCATGCTGAGCAATGATTCATGCTCGCTGATACTCACTCTCTGATACAATACAGCACACACTCATTTACTGACACGCACACACACACACACACACACACTCGTGCAAAAAAACGGCACACAAAGGGACAAGGAAGGAAACAAAAGTCAGTGTCACACAGTGTCACGGACTGCAGACAAGCACCCAGCCACAAGCGCACACACACACGCACACATGAAAACCGGCCAAAATTCAGCAGTACAGCACATTCATCTTCCGTTCAGACAAATACAGAGACATGGACTCGCATGTACAAAACATGTACGCACACAAACAAACATCCTCTTTACTGAAATAAACAACAAACATTATTTCATTTTCTCAACATAGACAGATGCAGCTACAGTGGATAAACACACACACACACACACACACACATCATTGCATGCTGCAGATGCCACAGCCATTTGTCTTAATTAGGGGAAAAACATTAATTATCTTAGCTAATATGGTGCAGGCTAATACAAGTCGATCAATCCTGAGGACAGGCACTGTGTGTGGCCATTACACAGGAGAAATTTAAAACCAATCAGCGGCACCATAAATACACACATGGGCGATAAAGAAGGATGGTGTTCAACAGAAGCGCACATGCGCGCACGCACACACACACACACACACGCACACAGCCAAGAGGAGAATAAAACAAGTGCTTGTTGCACCGACCGCAGTCAACGGTCCTAATAAACAACTTCCAAACCCTCCTCAGGCCGCCTCTCACACACAAAGCTGCAAAGGCATTTGAACTAGTCCTCCAACATTCTTCGACTGGTTTTCTCTGGAAAACTACGTGTGTACACTGATTGTTTGATTTCCACAGAAGAAGTGTCGAAGTCTAAAGTACAAATATGAGCGGAAGACTTTAGCATAAATGCTCTGCATGTTTGGAAGCACATACCTGTGTGAGCAGCTTTTTCTCTGTGATGAAGATGAAGAAAAACCCACACAGGACTCGTCTCACTGATGCACACCTTCACTCCATCTTGAGGGTTTCCACAGCACAGAACCTAACCCCAGACATTAATGAACTGGCAGCCAAGAAAAGATGCCAAACATCTGGCTCTGGTACATCTACATAAAAGAATGTAGCCTATTTCTTTTTGTCCAATATCCCTTATATCCTGTTTATTAAATGTTGACCCTGTTTGGCCCTCAACCTAGTCCCAATTTTTTTAATTTTGTCCCTCTCTGTGATCGAGTTTGACAGCTGTTCTAAGGTGACGTGGATCACACACATGGCTGCAAGGCGACAGTATACAGCTCCCTGTTGGTAATGATTTGTCGTAACTTGTAGCCAAAAAACTTGTTGGTGCTCGTCGCTGTGAGGGATTTGGACTGATGATTTCATCAGGCGTGTAAAGGCCGACAGACAGCAGTTCAGGCCGGTCTCTGTGTGAC